GTCAGTTGTGTTGGCTTCTAGCAGTATGTCAACGTAGAGATGCAATAAATGGTTGGGATATGGGGGTCGAACCTTGAAGACTGAGCTATTATTTAACTGAAGCAAAATGGTGGCTCTGTCCCAAGATTCAGGAGTGGCTCCAGTAGGGAATTTAGTTATAAGCATCTTACAAACTGTTGAGATCCATTGATTGAGTTTAGATCACTGTTTGTGTTAAAAATGATCTCTTTATTCTGGAGATAATTAAATGTAATTTTGTCCCGGACTTTTCCATTTAATGTGCTAGTTGTTGGTCAAGTTGAATGATTTATTTTAATACATTTAGAATTTAGTTTTAAACTAAATTTGGTGCTTTCATTTAATTTAGGAGGGGTTATTTCCCTAGTCTTGTTTAATCCGGATACATCCCTTGCCTTAGCAGTTCACAGGGATTTAAAATCTTTATTTCCTCATTCTCTAACTCTGATGACAATTTGCACAGCATTGTAATGAGTTGTTGGATGTGTGGGTGAGTTCAAGGTTGAATCTCTTTTTCCCACTTGAATAACTTTTATTCTTTTTCCATTATTGTCTTCTGATTACCTGGGTAACAAGATTGAGAACCTGTGGGGGTGGACTACAAACATGAATCCGGATAAATATTGGAGCATATTGCCCCATAATCTCATCTCAGACCCTTGAACATTTTATACATTCTGTTGAATAATGTACTATGTTTTTCAACAACAGTAACTGATGTCACAGCTTCCTCTAGTGGCAGAAATGTGTAACATTTTGTCTTATTCAATTCACTTTCCACTCTCCTCATATTTACAAATTGTGTCTGCATGTTCTTGATCTGAATCTTTTGGAATTGCAAGCTGTATTCTTCACAGTTACTTGCTGATATGTTTAGTAAACACAATCTTATTTCTATAACATTTTCCAGCCAGTGTACCCTGTCTCTGAAGAGCAGTGGCTGTATTTCAAAATAGCTGTTTGGTTGTGAAGCATTTGGGATGTTCAAAGGACATGAAAGGCAGTATGCAAATGGAAAATATTTCTCTTTATTTCTGCCTATCAATTAAGAATAAAATCTTCATGACTACAATGCTATTACTGATCCTGCATTAGCTTCTCTTACCTTGCCCACAGTATTATCTTTGCCCCGACCCCATCTCCTATTTATTACCTGCATAATATCTGAAATTTCACCAACATCTTTCTAGAGAAGTCTACTATTTTTACTCTTGTGTAACATCCAGTTCTAGATGAAATTTCTTCCAATTAAGTATTGGCCCCAAGTTCTGTTCACTAGCCACCAATGCCATCCTCCTATTTTGGTCACTATCTACGATGGCACCAGGCTGTTTGCAACCAATTCATCCTTTTTGATTCAGAACTTAGCTTCTGACATGCTCGTTATCAATATCCTTTTCTGTTTCCAACTCTGTCTGTTATTCATTTTTGTTTTATGCCAACTCAAATATTCCAGTTTAAAAAATAACAAAGAACTGCAGATGCTGGAAATCTGAAGCAAAAACAGAAATAGCTGGAGAAACTCCAGCAGGTCTGGCAACAACTGTGGAGAGAAAGCAAAGACAATGTTACGGGTCCAGTGACCCTTCTTCAGAAGATTTTAGCTAGGAAATGGTTTGTATTTATGCTGAAGATGGTGAGGAATAAACGATAGGTGGAGTTGGAGTTCAGCGAGAGAGAGATCAGCAGTGGGACAAACAAAGGAATGGATAATGCTAAGCCAGGGAGAAAGAAAGTTACTAACGGGAACCATCAGTGGGTGAAAATGGGTTGGCTGTGGTATTTTCTGCTTTTTGTTTTGAATATTCCAGTGTTGTCCTGGCTGGCCACCTGCCTATTACCTAACTCATTTCAGCTTCATCCCCGTAATTCCTAAACTACGTTTGATTTCTGATCTTTAAATACCTTGATTTTAACCTACTCACTCTACTATTCAAATCTCTGTGGCTGCACCCCTCCTTATGCCTGACCTCTTTCAGCCATACATTCTCTGAGAAATCCATTCTTTAAATTCTGGCCTATTATACAATCCCAATTTATCTGTCCCACTGTTAACAGTTTTACCTGCAGCTGCATAGGATCCAAGCTCTGGAATTTGATCATCAGTCCTCACCTTTTCTCTCTCCACCTTCAGGATGCTCCTCAAAACTTGTCATTTTGACCAAGTTTTGGTCATCCTGCCCAATTTCTGTCCACATGACTCTGTGTCAATTTTCTTTATCTGAGTATACTTCTGAGAAATGTGTTGGGAAGTTCCGTTACAATAAGGTGCTGTATAAGTGCAAGTTGTGATCTGCTCTGTGATGTTAATACATTGAGCAGGCTTTTCTGTGCAGACTAAGTTGGTTACTGCTTCTAATTTACATGAATCTTTTGGATTTGGAAACTCGGCGCACATTGTTCAAACAATACCATGTTAGAACAGCATTTGATTCTGAGGAGGAAGTTTGGGAGCTATAAAATGTACTGGACAAAATATATTGATTTGTGAAACAATAAGGGAAATTTATTATCAGTATCAAGTGCGAAAATTGGAAAGAAAATATGAAATAAATGAGAAAAATAAATAATTTTCATTTGTATGCATTTCTTCAGGACCATGAAAACATTTCACATCTAATTGTTTACTGTCCTAGTGTTGTGACAGTCATTTGCTCATGACCAGCTCCAGAAAATAGAAGAATTTGATGAATAACCAGCTAATTAATATTCTTAGTGGTTTTGGTGTGGAACTATTATTGCCATGACACTGTGGGAACTTGCTGATTTTCTTTAAATAATACCCAAAGATATTTTACACTGATGCAAAATACAAACTAAAATGCTGAGCTATACAAGAACAATCATCAGGAGAAGGCCAATCAACAAAATAGTATTTGATCTTCTACCTCACTTACAATTTACTGTACTTATTTCCCCACCCCCCCATTTTCCTTGATTCTCTTTGTATCCACAAATCTATCAATCTCTCCCACAATATCTCAACATATATATCTCTCGTTAACAGTTTCAAAGATTCACAGCCCTTTGAGTGGAAAAAAAAACCTCATCTCACTCCTACATTAATGATCCCTTATTCTGAGATACAACTACTAGTTCTAGATTTCCCAGCATCTTAAAACATCTTTAAGAAAACATCTTAAAAGTATCTATGCTGTCAAGGCCTTTTAAGCATTTTGTGTTTCAATGTGACCACCTCTTATCCTACTAAACTCTTTGGAATGCAGGCTAGTCTACTCAATCTCTCCTCTTATGACAATCCCCTCATCACAGGAATCAGTAAGTGAACTCGAACATTTTATCCTCTCTCAAAGATTGTAGCACAGTGGTAGTGTATCTTATTGTGGGCCAGAAGATCTAAATTTAAATCCCACTTGCCCAAGAGATGTCCTAATGTATTTGGAAAGGTTGATTAGCAACTATTTACAAATTGGAAATTGTGCCCCCAACATTAGAGGAAGTTGCACATTTGATTTGCTTTTAACATTTTAGATTCTCTTAGCAACGGAACCGTTGTAATTGCTGTTATGTTCCCTCAGTTTTCTGTGCTCTGATGGTGTTTCATTCTTCATTCTCAGGACGGCAGGCTATAACTAGTGGATTACTGCAAGGATCAGTGCTGGGACCACAGCTGTTCACAATCAATATAAATGGTCTGGTTGTGGAAACCAAGTGTAATATTCCCAAGTTTGCTGATGGCACAAAACTGAGTAGGATTGCAAGCTGGGGAGGATACGATGAGTCTTTAAGGGGACTTGGATGGGCTAAGCAAACGGGTAAGACGTGACATGGAATATAGAATGAATAAATGATAGGTTATGCAATTTACAAGAAAAAGCACAGTATTTCTTAAATGGTAGAAATTTTGGGCTCTTTATGTAAGGAAAGATATATTTGCTTTAGGAGAGAGTGCGGTGGAGATAAACCAGACTAATCCCTGGAATGGTGCGATTGTTTTATGAGGAGAAATTTAAAACAAAACTGGGCCTGAATTCTTTAGAATTTTGAAGAATGAGAGGTGATCTTATTGAAACTTAGAAAATACTTAACAGGCTTGGCAGTGTGGATGTAGATAGTATCTTTCCCTTGGCTAGAACCAGGGACGTTGTCTCAGAAAAGGGTTAGGCCTTTTAAGCCTGAGAAGAGGAAGAATTTCTTCACTCTCAAGGTGGTGAATCTTTGGGTCATATCCCAGAGGACTGTAGAATCTCCATCAACAAGCAGGTTCAAGTTCAAGCTTAATAGATTTCTGGACTCTAATTACATCAAGGGATATGAAGATGAGAAAAAAGAAGTGGTGTTGAAGTAAATGATCAGCCATAATTTAATTGAATGGCAGAGCAGGCTTGATGGGTTGAACGGCCTACTTCTGTTCCTATGATTTTCAGTACATAGTCAACAGTTTAAGACATGCTGTCCAAGATGCTGCCTGTTAAAGAGAAATGGACACGTTCTCCTTCCTTCAACATCTATGTTTTGAGTTTTAAGAGTGTTTTTTTAAATTGACTATGATTTTCAATTGCTTCTTTAAAAATATAGACTTTCAGAAACCAGGGAACGTACTGAGTCTGAATAGAAACCGAAAGAACTGCGGATGCTGTAAATCAGGAACAAAAACAAAGTTGCTGGAAAAGCTCAGCAGGTCTGGCAGTATCTGTGAAGGAAAAAACAGTTAACGTTTTGGGTCCGGTGACCCTGTCTCAGAATTCTAATCATCGGACCCGAAACGTTAACTCTGTTTTTCCCTTCACAGATGCTGCCAGACATACTGAGTCTGAATGCTGAAATATAATTTGTTACAATGAAATTGTATATTCCTTTTGGAATTAATGCTACAGGTCAGAATTTTATTGCTTTGCTCCAGGTTAATTTGCACAGCACACTGTACAATGCCTAAATAACATGACTGAGAATTTAATTTGTGTAAGTTCTTTAATTCATACTGATTTTACCTTGTTTTTCAATTTTCCCCTCTCTTGCAGTTTCCCTCATGTCCATGATCTACTCACAACACTGTGGCTGCTGGGCCTCGGTGTGGTTAGGCACTGTGCTTCGGACCCCTTGATAAACACAACTTGGTGTTGGACGTCATGAGCATAGTAATTCCACTGGGAGTTACTACACCAGATACTTCATACTCTGATATGGCTGCTGGATCAGAGTGAGTACCATCTGGAAAGCAGAGGGAGATTGGGCAGTGGGTGGTGGACAACATCATTTTTGTGGGAGGTTGGCGGATATTTTGTTTTGGTGATGATGAATGCTCTCTAACGCAGAAACCTTGAGTAGTCACTGTAATAGCATGATATATTACATGTGGAAGAATGTACTTTAGGATTTTAAACTGAATATTTCTTTACATGAGGACCGAAGGCTATCTGTGGCAAATACAAATTATTTGATGATTCCCAACTTCTTTCACCTCCCCCCCCCTTTCAATAATCTCCTGACCTCATTTCTCAGACAGGTTCTCTTTGATTGGCATCAGACATTTATATTTATCTGAATATTTACCTATTTAAAATTGGCAGCTGAATAAGAGCCATGCTTTAGGCCCAAGACTACTTGTTAGCAATACAATGATAAGTCCACCAGTATATAACAAATCAAACATATAATATGTTGTCCTGGTTCTCTCACCAGCTTTCACTCCTGACCTCAACGCCAGGGGTAGTTGGAGTAATAGTAAGTAAAATAATTATTCAAAATAAAATGTTGTATTAAAGTTTCTGAAAACGTGTGCATTTGTACTTTTCCCTCATCTTTGATCTTTTAAACTTGACTTTGCTGTCAACAAATGATACACTAGTCCATTCTCGCGCACACATACATGCACCTTCTTTCTCTCAGACACGCACACACATACACATGCACATGAACACATACCCTGTCCTTTGTGTGCATGTGCCTCACACGCACCACCACCACTACTGTCTTTCTGCCATTCCCAGTCTCTAGGCTTCAGGCTGAATGAATTTAGGGACATTAGCACAGTTGTCTGCTCTTCCATTCAGAAGCTGTTTATCTTCCATGTTGACTGCTGAAAGGCTCGCTGGTGAGCATGTGGCATGTAACATTTATGTTGCTTAAACTCGAGGCAATGACCTTTACAACAAGAGAAAATCTAATTGTCACCCATGACATTCAAAGGCATTACAATCACTGAATCCCCCAATATGACATCCTGGAGGTTGCTACTAAGCAGAAACTGAAATGGACCACTCACGTAAATACTGTGGCTGCACGAACAGGTCAGAAGCTGGGAATTTTGGGGTGAGGAACTTTTGCTTCCTGTTGCCCAAATCTTGCCTATTGTTAAAAGTCTGATAAATACTCTCCACTTGCCTGAATGAGTGAAGCTTCAAAAGGACTCAAAAGTGCAATGTCATTTAGGTCAAAGCAGCCCATTTGATCGATTTCCCATTCACTCCCTTAAACATTCACTATTTCCACCACTGACGCATATGGCAGCACTGTTTACTATCTACAAAATGCACTGCTGGAACTTAGCAAAACTTTTCCCTTCCCGTCTACTACTTAGAAGGCCAAGTGCAGTAGAGAGGAATATTACTTGCAAGCTCTCCTCTAAACTATCCTCACTTGGAAATATGTCAGTATCCCTTTATTGTCACCGGTTTAAAATCCTGGATCTCCTTGCCTAACAGCACTGTGGGTGTAGCTGCACCACATGGACTGTAATGTTTTAATGTGGCAGCTCACCACTGCTTTCTCAGAAACACCAGGTTGTCCTCACCAGTGACCTCTACATCCTGTTGAATTTTTAAAGTAAGGCCTAGTGAATGCTCAGACTTTGGTATATATGGTTCATCCCGCTGTATTCATTGTGGTGGATTCGGTACCTGACAAAATGGTCATTTTATCCCCTATTAGTATTGGTCTTGCTGCTAACTCTAAACTTTAAAGAAGGAAGTATGTTTTCTGATTGCAGAGCAGATCTGCCAGGATCTTTTTTCAATTGGATTGAATTTATACAACCTGGAATTAGTACAATATTTGGACAAATTTACTGTAAATCAAGGGCTTGGGCTAAGTTGGAGTGGGGTGTCCGATTGGAGTGATTGATAGTCAGTGTTAGGTGTTTGTACGTGAGAAATTTGTGTGTATAAAATGGACCTGATTATTAAATTGTTGAAAAGACAATATCATGGTTTGCCGGTAATTACTGTTTGGGGTAGAAAGTGGCAATTGATTTTGGGTTGGTGGGTGGACAGCCTTGATTTGGTATTAGGCAGCATGTTTCTTTGTACTCTGCAGTCAGAAGTTACTTAGCTTGGTTTGTAACTTTGATTTTGTACAGAAACCTGACAGTGTTCCTGAGTCTCACCATGTACACTTTCATTTGGAGGGCAGTGCTTCAAGTCTCTGTTTTTGAATTCTTTCTTGAGTGTGTTGATTTCCAAAAATGGTTTCTGGAAACTTTCAGTGAATTTTTGTTTTTTTTTAAATGGTGTGCAACTCTCAGAAGGGTCACAAGCACCAAACCAGTTTATTTACTGCATTGTGTCTGTGCTGGCTTTTGGTAGGAGCAATTCTGGACTGCCATTCCTCTGTCTTATCCCTGCAGCCTTGCACATTTTCCTATTCAGATAATAATCCAATTCCATCTTGAATGTCTTGATTGACTCTGCCTTCAGCACAATCTCAGGTTGTGAATTCCAGATGCTATGTGAATGAGCTTAAGTATTGTGATTTCATCTTTTGACAATTGCCTTAAATCTGTAAAATGAGCTCTTGCAGACAAATATCCACTGTAAGTATTAAAGGGCAGTCTCGTATTTTTAAGGGGCTGATGGAATGGATTTCACAATGATGTTTCTATTGCAATGTCTAGTAATTTATTTAGTAGAAGTAGACTTTGGGGTATTTCACACAACCTGATTTAATGCTTTAATGATTCTGTATGGAAAGCAAGGCTAAGAAACCAATATTTTTGCAAACTGCCTTTAAATGCCCCTGTTCTTTAAATGTGTTCAAGTCTTTGTGTTCAATCTTCTTTAATTCTACAGCTGCTGCAAAATGATGAGATCAGTAGTGTTAACTTGTCCCAAAACAGTCTTACAAATCATTAACAATTTAATTCATAATAACTTAACAACTGTTAACCTACGAACTCTTAATAATCCACTGGCTCTTTCAACTTTCTTTTTGCTCACCACATCCTACCTTTACTCACTGTCTCTCCCGCGTGCTGAGCTTGCAATTTGTTGGCCTGTCTGTTTGCCTTTTGCTTCTTGCCTCTGTTGCTTATTGGTGGGATGGAAGCTATAAGGTTGATGAATAGGCATGCCAGTGAAAGAGGTAGCATGCAGGATGGTCGTAGAGGGTGAGCAGGAAGTGAGTAGGGGAAGAACGTGTGGAGTGAATGCTGTTTTCATTGCTGCCCAGGGTAATTGAGCCAGGGAAAGAGAAGAAGAGCTGAAAGAAGCTCAAGGTTGAGATTTATCCACCTGTGTCGAGTGAGAACTGAAGGCTTTCTGGAGGTTATCTGCCTGTTGTTCAGTTTAGGGAATCAGCTGTTGTTTATTATTTAATCTAGTGATAGCTTCAGGCTCCAGGAATTGACACAAGTGAATTTTGGTTGTTAATTCCACCTGATTAATCATGTCAGGCTTGTATGTTGTCTGTTTATTTCATGTCCTGGGGGAATCTACCATTTTTTTGCTGATGGGCTAGAGTGGCTGTAAACCTCATTTAACCATCGGGATGTGTTTGGGTGTAATAATTAAGTGATTAATCCATCAAGTACCATTCTGCAGCTGTGCAACTTAGAGGGAATACTGCTTCTCGTTCTTCAAAGTCTTTGGTTGTTTGGTCCAATTCACTGTGTCCCATCATAAGATAGCCCTTTCACGCAGGAACCAATCCAGTGAACCTCTGCTGCACTGCCTCCAGTGCAAATACCCCTGTATATCCTTCTTTAAATGTGAAGACCAAAAATACATACAGTATACTGGGTATGATCTTATCAAAGACATCTACAATTATAGCAAAGCTTTTTTGGTTTTGTTGAAGTCAATTACTTTGTCTGCTACTTTAGTGCTCCTTATACAAATTACTCTCAAGTCTCTGTGAATATTAGCATTTTTAAATGTTGTGCCTTTGTAGCATATTCTGCTTTTCTGTTCTGACTATTGAAATAAATAGCTAAATTCTTCCCTGCATACACTATCTGCCGCTGAGGTGTGCACTCATTTACTCGGTCTCTATCTTGGCAGCCACTTTGAGCCTTCCTCAAAACAGCTTTCATTGCCACCTATCTTTGTATAGCCAGAAACTTGGATTCCTTATTACTCTCAGTCACTTTGTCTATGCAGATTGTAAATAGCAGAGGAGCCAACTCTGATTCTTGCAGCACTCTGCCAACTTGAAAAACCCATCGATCCTCACTCTCTGCCTCCTGAATGTTAAGCAATCTTCCATCCGATCTCATGACTACCCCATACCACCTGAGCCCTTACCTTGTGTATTTTTTGTGTGACACCTTATTGAATGCCTTTTGGAAATTCAAATACAATATACATATGTATATACATATATATACTGGCTCCCGTTTATCTACCCCATTAATTACACTTGCTTTAAAAAAAACTAATAAATATGTCAAAAAGACTTTCATAAAGCCATTTTAACTTTTCTCATCAAGCTATAATCTTGTACATGCATTGCTTAAGTTTGTTTCAGCAGGTTCCAATGTTTTTTTTCTTTACCACGTTTTCTTTATCAAGGGAATATTGGAAAGTTCTAACTTGTGCATCAATTACCTTTGTTGCTACCCCTTTCGGAATCATAGGTGTAGGCCATCAGATGCTGAGGATTTGTTGACTTTTTAGTTTCTTGAACTTAATTTTTCTCTTGTTACTAATTGCTTTACATTTCTCACTCTTATTAGCCTCGTGGTTGCCCTTCATTTCTGGTATGTATTTTATATCTTCTGTGAACACACCCAATATATTTGTCACAGTCTTGTCATCTCCCAAGACAATTTCTCCTGTCTGTGTGTCTAAGTTACTGAAGTTTGTTATCTACATTTTTTCCCCTTTAATCCACTTACAAAAGTAAATGGCGAAGAGTTTGCACACTCCTGGCTAGTTTGCCATCTTTCTGCTTTCTCCCTTTTAATGAACATTTTCGTCACTTTTT